TATACAGTATGAAGAAAAATAATATTAATACAAGATGAGTTATTACTGTAATGATTGTTACAATTGACGTTAAGATGGTCTCCGTGGGTGAAATGAATAGCTTTTAAGCTTATTACTTTCTTGTATTTGATGGTATGCATGTGGTATTTATACATTAAATATTCCACAGAAGTTGCAAAGCACCTCTCTCCCTGGGTTGTCAGGGTTTATATAGTCTTGTTGTTTTGTCACTTGTCACTTCCCTGTCCCCTCTGACTTCACTTGAGAATGAACACCCAAGGATTATTTGTAAATATGTCCTAAAATATTGTTATATTACTCATTAGGAACTTATATATGTATATTTTTTTCAGGCTGTAGACAAAGCAAATGGCTATGTGTATGGAAGTGGAGAAGAGAGAAATATTCAGCGATTGTTATCATGTGCAGTGGGAGGAGAATGGGAGCACGACCGTATTGGTGCTGCACGTGATCAGTTCATGGAAAGCTCTCAAGAATCCGATGAAGAGGAAGAGATCCTTAAGATGATAGCATGTCAGAATCAGAGTAGGACTTAAACTATTTTACACCAAGGTCACAGGTATGACCAAATGAAAATTTATGCAATGTGTTGATGTTAGATACAGTATTGCAGCCTTACTAATAATGATATCATTTGCTCGGGGTATGTTTTGTTTTTGTGGGGTGTGGGAGGGAGTGTGGGAAGTGTTAGAGGGGTCTGGGAAGGATGTGTGAGTTTTAGAGGGGTGTGGGAATGGTGTGTGGAGTGTGGGTGGGGTGTGTGGAGTGTTAGACGGGTGTGTGTAGTGAGAGAGGGTTGTGTGAAGTGTGGCAGCGGGTGTGTGAAGTGTGCAGTGTGTGGGTGTGTGAAGTGTGTGGGTGTGTGAAGTGTGGGCTGGTGTGTGAGGTGTGTGTGTCTTTGAAGTGTGGCAGCAGGTGTGTGAAGTGTGACAGGTGTGTGAAGTGTGGCAGCGGGTGTGTGAAGTGTGGCAGCTGGTGTGTGTGTGGCAGCTGGTGTGTGAGGTGTGGCAGCGGGTCTTTGAAGTGTGGCAGCGGGTGTGTGAAGTGTGACAGCGGGTGTGTGAAGTGTGGCAGCGGGTGTGTGAAGTGTTGATGGATGGGGGGAAGTATGAAAGGCATGTAGGTGGGGTGTGTAAAGTGTTAACCATTTACAGGTATCCCTTGCTATATGAATGTTCGAGATACGAAAATTCACTGATACGATTATCCCAATTTACCACATCCCTCTAGCTCTCTCCCTACCAGGCTGAGACTGGAGTTATTTATCAGCTTGTAATTTCAGGTAGATAAACATAACTTTCTATATTTTTTTATTCAGTTACATTGACATATTACAGTACAGTTCATCTCATGCTGATTAACCCTTTAACTACTCTGCACATAAATTGATGCTCGGCTAGGGCAATTACTCTGCACGTCTTATTTACGTCAAGCACTAGACGCTTATTTTTCAAACACAATTGGCCCCTACATTATTTTGAAGCATTCATCAGATGTCACTACCTTCCAAGCTCGTTTCTTTCAGGTCCAAACTATTAGCCAGCGGTGTCTGGCAACTCCCCCCCCCAAGTGCCCGGCAGTTAGCATATTACTGTACTGCGATAATGAACGGAAATAGCTTCTCACCTTGAACTCCTTCTCTCCACCTAGCTCTACTCCCATCCACTCGGCTTATTTGGAAAGAAAGTGCCTCAATGCTGCAGAAATTCACAGATTAATTTGAACATGTGGAGAATATGTATTCAAGTAAGGAAGAGAAGAACCTGTGGAAAGATCAAATAACATGGAGTCATCAAATAGTGCTGCGGAAGAGTTAGATCCTGTTAACCCAAACCTGCTTGCATCTCCCGCATGTATTCAAGTCAAATAACTATGTTCAGCAATATTCAATACATACAATGTCAAATCATGGGTACAAAAGAATGTTGTACATCTCTTTGTAAGTGTTTATAACATGTTGAAGACTTTACTATCACATCTTGTGAGTCTTCATCACAAGATATTTGATGTAGTGAAGTATCTTGTGATGGTCTTCAATATTTTGTTATTAAGAAAGGTGTACAACAACTCTTTTCTACTCATACTACGGCAAGTCCTTTGGTCTCACCGATCACTTTGTACTTTTGTAAAATGTAAAGTCAAAATAAAAGATCGTATCTCCTCAAACTTTCTTTATTATTTCCTAAGATAAAATATAGCCATTTTTGGACTTAGTTTCTTATTTATTTATTTATTTATTTTAATTCAGATGTTTTTTAGGTGTCATCTTTGCCCACCAGGCTTGGACCATGAAGACGGCAGCAACTTGAGCAGGCCAAATTGGCTACACTGAACCTTGGTAGTTTCTCTTTGCTGGTAAGTTGCTCTCCGATGTGCAAACCTACGATGGTGGTCATATTTGAATACAAGTGAAATAAACTTAGATGTTTTTGATAGTTGTATTTTTTATTTGCTATTTGTTATGCTAAGTGATTGATCTGAATGTTTTGGCATTATATTCAGATCAAACACTTAGCACAACACAAAGCTAAACAGAAATACAACTTACCAACAAGGAGAAACAAGCAATGTTCAGTGTAGCCAATTCTGGCCTGCTCAGGTTGCTGCCATAACCTGATTTATCTACACATATACTGTATTTATACCTGTCAAATTATTTGAGACCAATGATTTTACTTTATTTAAAGAACCTAGTATACAGAATCATCCAATCTCAAAAGGCATTTACGTAATGCAGGAATTTAAATCTTTATACAGTTATACGTACTGACAGCAAGCATAAACTTTACCAGTATTACTGTTATTTCTTAGGTGTCTCAATTATTGCTGGTTTATTCTAAGAAAAAAAACCATGTAATCTTTAAACTTTCCATTTAAGGCAACCTTTAAATTCATTAGTTCCAATCAATCTGGAAACATTCTACTCCTACAGTACAGCTACTCTTTTGTCACTTGGAGGCAAATACTGTATGACTATCATGTACTGTCCCTCATCCTCTTTATTTTCCTTCAAACAGCTGTTTCATTATCTATTTATTCTTCAGTCACATTTTTACACTTTCCATTCATTCATATATTCAATTAAATTGTTCCTTCATGACCTTTATTTTTCTCTTTAATTCATATTGCTGTTGCTGTTTTATTAATTTATAGTACTAATTCTTTTATAATTGTACTCGTTTTCATTATTGTTTTGGTAATTTTAATCCCTTAGTTATATTATTTATAATACATTCTTGAATGAAATATTATGAAGTTTTCTGAAAATTCATATACTGTACAGTAATTCTGTGTGAAAAGCAATTAATTTTTCTCTTAAATCGACTTTGTGATCAGTTTCTAATAATTTTAATATTACTTTTAATAATCAAATCGTATGATTAATTTAACTAGGAATTTGAATCATTTTTAATGTTCATATATCACTCTTATATTATAGCATATGTTCGTTTCTTTAAAACACTCATTCATCTATCACTTCCCATTTTCTATCATGAAAACTTTTCATTTTCTATGATGATATATATCATTTTCTATAATGAAAATTTCCATTTTCTATAACAATGCTTAACGTTTTCTACAATGAAAACTTCCTGTATTCTATGATGAAAACTTCCTGTATTCTATGATGAAAACTTCCTGTATTCTATGATGAAAACTTCCTGTATTCTATGATGAAAACTTCCTGTATTCTATAATGAAAACTTCCTGTTTTATACGATGAAAACTTCCTGTATTCTATGATGAAAACTTCCTGTATTCTATGATGAAAACTTCCTGTTTTATATGATGAAAATTTACTGAATTCTATGATGAAAACTTCCTGTATTCTAAGATGAAAACTTGCTGTATTCTATGATGAAAACTTGCTGTATTCTATGATGAAAACTTCCTGTATTCTATGATGAAAACTTCCTGTTTTATATGATGAAAACTTCCTGTTTTATACGATGAAAACTTCCTGTATTCTATGATGAAAACTTCCTGTATTCTATGATGAAAACTTCCTGTATTCTATGATGAAAACTTCCTGTATTCTATGATGAAAACTTGCTGTATTCTATGATGAAATCTTGCTGTATTCTATGATGAAAACTTCCTGTATTCTATGATGAAAACTTCCTGTATTCTATGATGAAAACTTGCTGTATTCTATGATGAAAACTTGCTGTATTCTATGATGAAAACTTGCTGTATTCTATGATGAAAACTTGCTGTATTCTATGATGAAAACTTGCTGTATTCTATGATGAAAACTTCCTGTATTCTATGATGAAAACTTTGTTTTATACGATGAAAACTTCCTGTTTTATATGATGAAAATTTACTGAATTCTATGATGAAAACTTCCTGTATTCTATGATGAAAACTTCCTGTATTCTATGATGAAAACTTCCTGTATTCTATGATGAAAACTTCCTGTTTTATATAATGAAAATTTACTGAATTCTATGATGAAAACTTCCTGTATTCTATGCTGAAAACTTCCTGTTTTATACGATGAAAACTTCCTGTATTGTATGATGAAAACTGCCTGTATTCTATGATGAAAACTTCCTGTTTTATATGATGAAAATTTACTGAATTCTATGATGAAAACTTCCTGTATTCTATGATGAAAACCTCCTGTATTCTATGATGAAAACTTCCTGTTTTATACGATGAAAACTTCCTGTATTCTATGATGAAAACTTCCTGTATTCTATGATGAAAACTTCCTGCAGAGCTCCTGGGCGCATCACCTATCCTGGCAGGGCCCATGGGAGCACCACTGTCCCTGCAAGGGCCCATGGGGGTACCGTGGCCCCTGGCAGGGCCCATGGGGGTACCGTGGCCCCTGGCAGGGCCCATGGGGGTACCGTGGCCCCTGGCAGGGCCCCTAGAGGCACTTCTCTCCCTCAGAGGGCGCCTGGGGACGGTGCTGTCCTTGGGAGAGGCCGTTGGGGGCGCCACTGTCCCTAGGAGACCCCCTGTGGGTGCTACCACCCCTTGGAGGGCCCCTGGGATGCCACCGCCCCTGCGGAGCCACCGCTACTTGCAGGGCCCTTTGGGGCGCCAATGTCCCTCACATGGCCCCTGGGGGCACCATCGCCCCTAGTAAGGCCCAATAGGGAGCCACCGCCCATAGCAGGGCCCCTGAGGGCGCCGCCGCCACTGAGAAGGCCCCTGCGGGTGCAGTTGGACCTGGCAGGGGTCCTAGGGGTCCCACCACCCCTGGCAGGGCCCCTGGAGGCATCACAGTTTCTGAGAGGAGCCCCGGGGGCACTGCCACCCCTGGCAGGGACCCTGGGTGCACCACCGTTTCTCGCAGGGTTCTTGGGGGGCGCCGCTGTCCCTGGCAGGACCTCTTGGGGCGCTAGTGCCCTTAGCAGGGCCCGTGGGGGCGCCATTGCCCATTGAAAAGGCACCTGGGGGCGCCGATGTCTGGCAGAATTCGGCGCCTACGTCCCTGGGAGCGTCAGCGCCCCTGCCATGGCCCCTGGGGGCACCACCACTACTGGGAAGTCCCCTGGGGTCTCTGCTGTTCTTGGCATGGCCCCTGGGGGCGACACCGCCGCTACGAGGGGCCTTGGGAGCTCTGCCGCCACAGGCAGGGGAACTGGGGGCGCTACAGCCCCTAGCAGGCCTCTGAGGGAGCCAATGCCTCTTAGACAGCCCCTGGGGACGCACTTGGACGTGGTAGAGCCCCTTGGGGCACCACCGTCCCTGGCAGGTCCGCTGGTGGTACCGCCACAGCCCCTAGCTGGGGCATTTCATGGTGCTATGATACTGGAAATGCGATGCGGCAGTGTCTCCAAGTTACCTGACATGGGGCGTTGGCGCCGCCAGGGGCCCTCCAAGGGAGAGCGGCGTCCCCATAGGACCTTCCAGGGGTGTTGGCACTCCCGGGAGCCCTTGGCTTCCCCGGGGGCCCTCTCAGGGATGGTGGCGAACCCAGGGGCCCTCCCAAGGGCTTGCTCAGCAGCAGTGGCGCCCTAGATATCTTCCGAGGGACAGCGGCGCCCTCAGGGGCCCTACCAGGAGCGGCAGCGCCCCTAGGGGCGGTGGTGCCCCCAGAAGCCCTCTCAGAGGCGGTGGCGCCTCTAGGGTCTCTCCCGGGACAGCATCGCCCCCAGGGGCCCTCTCAGGGGCGGTGGCATCCCTAAAGACCCCTTCAGGAGCGGTGGCTCCTCTATGGGCTCTCCCGGGGACAGAGTCGCTCCCAGGGGACTTGCTAGAGGCGATATTGCCCCAAGGGGACCCTCCAGGGGCGTTGGTGCTCCCAGGGGCCCTCTCAAGGGTGGTGGCCATCCAAGGAGCGATAACGCCTCCAGGGGCCTTCTTTGGGCGTTGGCGCCTTCGGGGGCCCTGGCAGGGGTGGTGGTGCCTGCAGGGTCCCTCTCAGGGACAGCGGCGCCCCTAGGGGACCTCCCAGAGGCAGTGGAGTCCCAAGGGGCCATGTAACGGGCGGTGGCACCCCCAGGGAACCTCCCAGAGGCAGTGAAGTCCCCAGGGGCCCTCTCAGGTTAGGTGGCGCCAACAGGGGCCCTGGCAGCGGTGGTGGTGCCTGCAGGGTCCCTCTCAGGGATAGTGGCGTCCCTAGGGGACCTCCCAGGGGCCCTACAAGGGGCTGTGGCGATCCCAGGGGCCCTCTCAGGTTCGGTGGCGCCAACAATGGGACTGGCAGGGGTGGTGGCGCCCACAGAGTCCTTCCCAGGGACAGCGGCGCCCCTATGGGTCCTCCCAGAGGCAGTGGATTCCCCAGGGGCCCTGCAAGGGGCGGTGGCGCTAACCGGGGCCCTGCCAGGAAAAGCGGTGCTACAAGGGACTCTGCCAGGGGCAGTGGTGCCCCCAGTGACCCTCCTAGGGCCAGTTGTCCCCCGAGGGGCCCAACCAGAAGCGCCCCCTCCCAGGAGTCCCATAGCTTGCTTGGTAGTATTGTCATACATATTGTATATATCCCGCAATTCCTTACTTATCTGTGATT